TAATTAAGAATGCCAAAGGCAAGGTGAAAAGTTGGAAAAGGAGCAAACCGGAGAAATGCATGCTCGAACCTGATCAGGGCCCTTTTCAGGGCAGCATAGATCGAATCATGCATGTCGTTCAATTGTTTCGATCTATATGTCGATTCCACGCACACACATACACTAGCTAGCTAGGTAGTGTGCAATGGTGCAAGATACATAGGGGGGACACTTTAGTATATTCAGATACGATACGACAGGCAATAGAGAACCAAGAAGATTATGAACGTGGAAAACCCTCCAATGTGAAGGGAAAAAACCCACTCACTATATAGGAAGAGGTTACAAACCCAGGGGAATCACGACGATAATCTTATCTCATGTGACGGCTTATAAAGGATATATATGCATGCTGCCGGGGCTACCCCCTCCCCCATACGGCCCAAGCCTCTCGGCGAGGGGCCTCCGCTCCACTAAGTCAGAAGTTAGCCATTATAGAAATTGAGATCACAATTTAACAAATATTCGGCATTCGATATGTTCCGATGCATACTGGGATCGACATGTAAGCCCTTTAGTTCGCAGCTTTCCAGGGACATGTTGCTTGCCTCTGGAGCGACACACACCATCATCATTTGCCCAGAAAATGATTCCACTTATTCCTACCAAAAATTATACTTCCATCCTGATCACCGCATCTCGCTAATCCACCAACTTTTGACAACAATGTCTCACCTTCTCGATCTCTACCGTACGTGCTTATTAACTTGCTGGAGTGTTTGCGATGATCAGCTGTTCTTTGGAGCATGCGACGCACTCGCTTGTTGAACATATATACTACATAATTAAGCTCTATCACTCGCTAGATCTCCCCGCTGTGACCTGAAAAAATGTAGTGAATGGTCCCAAGGTATCGGTGTTTACTTAACTCCGACCCCCACATGGATCAATGCACGCGTGCATGTGATAATTAATTAACCAAGAGTAGGGCTAATCTGAATCAGCAGCTAGCTGTAATGTTGATGCTTTCGGGTGACACGAGAATACTCTTTTCGATGGATGGTCCAGAAAATACTTACGATGGAATGCAAGAAGAGATTAAGCAGGCAGCAAAATCTCATCCCGGGAGCAGAGCTGGTCGAGAGGCCGACAAAGGGACGGACGGATGTGGCAGCACTAGCAACCGCATAGCCTGCCTGCCTCGGCAACCATCGATGGATGCCACTCTCCACTGGTTGCGTCACATCCACCTCTGGTCACTTTTACCCTTTTCCTGGCCGGCCGGTATTTGCGTGCGTTGGGATTCCGGGAGTGTATTATTTTTCGATAAAGATGGATTTTATTGGCTTGAAGTTGAGCATTAAGAGGATACAAACATAATGACCGCACACTCCACACAATGACTTGAACACTGGGCCTAATGTTACACGCAATGACTTGAACACCGGGCCTAATGTTCCAACCTTTTTGTTTAACGGGCTGTATTACTCCCTTCGTTTCAAAATAGATGACCTAACTTTGTACTAAAGTTAGTACAAAGTTGAGTCGTCTATTTTGGAACGGAGGGAGTACATCAAGTCTTAAAATTCCAGGAATGTTGTGACCGAACCGGTGTCGAAAACCCTCACTCGGAAGCTTCCAAGAGTGCATGACCACATGATTTCACTCCTCATGTCCAAATCACCGTACGTATACGTGGATCAGCCGGCCTCCAGTCGTTCAGTATGTGATGGACAGTCGCCCACATACTTTCACACTATTTCATTTGCATGGATATGTGGATCACTCGGATGCAGAGGCCAAGGGTCACTCCTTTTCAGGAAAAAACACAAAGGAGTATTCGGAAAAGCTCCTTGTTGCTAGTTCGGTAAATAAAGGAAGAGTGTCCGACCCTTTTCATAAGACCAACCTTGGTTATGTGCGGGCCCATATATGCTCAAATACAACTTTGTAATCACTGAATAAGATCACTTTGGTGTGTTCATTTTCTTCTAAAAATCTTTCTTAGATATGCAAACACTTTGCTGCCGCTCTTGATTACACTTAAGCTTTGCTTATGCAATGATGTAAAGATACATCATGTCTGCCATTATATCACTTACGGCTTCGTTTTATATACGTACCTGACGTTTTCTACTTTTCTTTGAGCCCTTGTTAAACAAACACCGCATGCCCCATTTTTTGTGCCACTATTTTACTCGCATTATTTCGCATCCTGGCCTTTGCATCGATTAATGTACAAATACTTATATTATTGATTATTTAACAATGTCAACATAAGCCTAGCATCGATGTTGAATGACTCGGTTTAGAAAAAACAAGACCATCCAAAATGGATTAGTCTTGTGACAAGATCTTCATAATCCTACCACAAACACTATGACATGCGACCAAATTAAGTCAGAAATAAGCTACTCCCAGACAAAACCTACAAGAAAGGATCGCCGAACGTGCGCCGATGTTAACTAGTCCAACGAAAGGCCAGATATAGAATTTTCAACCACGAAGTCAAGCTTCGATCCAACACCTTCAACGGAACGCTTGCATACTGACTTCGCCTTAGCTAGCCATAAAGAGAAGATCTTGGGTTCTCACTCGAAGTACGACCATATTTGTCGGCATATCTGTCATTGCCAATAGCCTCTAAAGATGACGCCGTCTCGCTAGCGAAATCCTAGCACCAAGACAGCCCAAAGCCATCCCGCACCGCTCAAGAGGATGGTGGATGCAGGTTGAGGACCACGCCGTCTTACTTCTGGTTACCGTCGCACCTCCTTCAATCCCCGATGATGGGAGAGAAAGGGTCTCTTGGATGTAGGATGGTCTTCAGATCCAGCCATCGTTATAACCACTATGTATATTGTTGTCATTGCAGCCACCTCATAGATCTTCCCACCATGTCCCCGGGACCACCACCCTAGCGTCGTCTACCATCGCCCCTTCAATGCGATTTGTCCTTCTAAAACAAAGTTGCGTCGCCAGATCCAGCCCACACTAGGGCCTTACTGCCAAGACCTGCATAAGCCCCTCATTCTTGTAGGCATGTCGGTGTCAGTCATAGGACACTACTCCGGATAAGAGTAGGATTCGTGCCTCCACATGCTCAACCTGGTCATGCCCCAGATAGAAGTGTGGGATGTTGACACGCACGACCTCGCATGTCTAGAGCACCATGAAACCCTTGGCGATGAAGACCTCAAGTGTCCTCTGAGTTGGACGGTAGCTCCACACATGTCCCGCCCACAGGTTCCCAAATCGGGGTCATCTTCGAATCGGCGGGCGCCATGGTTGCATCGGCATCCAGTGAGCCAGGGGAGTCAGTACGGGAGATAGAACATGTCCTCCCTTGCTCGGTGATGAAGATGCCACCGTGGTTCCTCCCATCTGTCGTTCTTCCATCTGGGGTCCTACCCCAATCTTAATTGTGGCGGACGCCTTCGCTCCTACCATTGAACCCCCTCTGTCGCTTTTGCTGAATCAGCGACAGGAGGTAGCCACATCAGCATCACTGAGGTGCTGCTAGCAGGGCGGGAGAAGAGGCTTGAAAGCACCACCATGTTCTCCATGCGACAATGTAGGGGACGACCTGTCAATTGTGGATCAAGTTATTTTTTCTCCATCCCCTATTTTGCACACCACTGTACAAGTTTTTTTAGTAGATATACATGATATTCTCGCGGATATGTATTTAGTGTCGGATCTTGTATTGAGTCGAAGAGGATGATCTTCTGGTTGTGGTCAACAACTCCAACTATTTACTGTCTCTATCCCATAGATTAGGTGTTTTTTACTCCAAAATAGACTCCAAGCCTCCTCTTACTCACCTTCCTATTCTAAGAACCTCCGGTCAATCCCATTTCCCCTACACATCTAGGAAGAGAATAGGGAATACCGTTCCTCCACTAACCCCCAACTACTATGAAAACTCCCACCCGCCACCGACCTACACCTCGCCATTTGAATGATCAAAGATGTCACATAAAATCCCTATTTGTTGTGATGAAAATCCTTGTGACTAAGTTTTAAC